GGATTGAAATTACTTACACCCCCGGTGGCATAAGGATCCACTCCTCTCTTCGAAAGGAGCAATTTGACGACATCTTCCCTGGAGTACATCGCGGATATGTGCAGGGCATTGTAATTGTCCTAATAAGTAAAAAAAAGGAGATATCAATGGCGCGTAAAACCGCAGCGATGTAATGATGAAAAAAATGATGTAAATTTCGAGAAAAATTGTTCTCCTCGGGTTATCACGGGCAATAACGTAATGAGGCCGTAAATAACATTTGGCCGCACCCACGCCGATCCGGTAAAGCCCAAGTCCTCAGAAATCCTTGACGTTGCCCAGTCATTCCAATCAGAGCTTATTAACATGCTATTCGGAAATTATATCGGGGCCAGTGGAAGGAGACGAGCTCTGTTCAGCCGGTCGATATCAGGTGCGTGTGCACCTTCTTAGGGTGCACTGGAAAATTCTTTCGGTTCTGAAATTCTCGACCATTTGATACCATCACGTTGATATTCTTCAAGAATTTTACAGCCCAATATTTAATTTTCTTAGGAATATCAAATTTTCGACACGAAAACTCCATTAATTCGGTGACCGCTCTAAATAGATATCAGTTATTACAGAAAAAAATAATACACTGTTAAAATATCACAGACAAATATTAGATTATCAAAATTACATAAGCAAACAAATTGATTTATTACAGGAATTATTTTGCTTGTTATCTATTTTTTTTATGTTTTTTTGTTATATTTTTCAATGTGATATTAATATTGTGTGATATTTAACATAGTAATCATTTATTTCTGGGACCTTCACATTTTTTTTCCAGCAATCAAATCTGATTTCCTAGTATAAGCACAACAAAATGTGGAAGTAAAAGAATGAAGTAAAAGAATGAAGTAAAATAAAGTAGATAATTCAAAACTAATATTGATATTATTAATATTGTTACGTATTGGTTCTCTCAGTTACTCTCAATCACATTCATGTATTCTTTTATTTTATGTCTTAATCCACGAACGCGTTTTTAGTTATTATATATAATAAACTCTTGATTATACATCGGATCATTCTTGTTTAACACTGTCAATAACATAAATATTGACATTATTATTATTATTAATTAATTTTTGTTGTTATGTAATAGAATAAATTTGGAAAAGATTGCGTGGGAAGATTTTTACATTATATTTGAGTAATTGGGATAATTCCGGGGGAATCTTGTGAATTGTGGGGGTAATTAAATTCACATTCACAGTTAGGAATCTTATTTATGAATTCCCGAGTACTGCGTGGCGTTTTATATTCAAAATTATCGCAAGGTGGGATCGAACTACTTTTTAGTTCCACTGACTCTGAAACCGGCCTAGTTAAGCCCCCGTCTGCTTACCTTGACCCTCCTTCACGCAATCTTCTCTGAGGGTGAGGAAAAATCGAGTGACTCATTCTTTCACTGAGGTTCTGACGAATTATGATATTTTTCTAGATTTTGGGTGGATAAATTCCGTCAATTTTTTCATTATGGGGTATTTTTATCATATCAGGACTCAAGTTGAATGTTTGACCAGATTGAGCTTTTTTTCTGGCGGATTCTAGTAGATTCTCCGGCGTCGGAATGCCGACCGATAAATCGAATAGCTTTCTTGGATTTGTCGATTACACTGGTAAAATTTTTCTCAATTTCAGGCAGAAAATCATCTAACATTTGAATTCTATAATTTTGAATCAAATTTCAATTCAAACGGTAGCTTAACTTTGTATTTATCTTGGGAATTCACAAAAATTTGATCTTTTATGTTAAATGATCGGTAATTTTTCATTGAAAGCTTGAGCTTTCATGCTCATCGTGAAAATTTAACATCAAATACATTTGACTTTTAAATCAATTGAAAACTCATCGAAATCATTGTTTAAACTTCCAACATTTTTACGGCTTTTCAGTGTTATATTGAGCTGAGAACAGCGAATTACCAAATTACCAATTTAAGAAATTAAGTATTTCGTCAATGGAGAATTGTGAAATATTTCTAATTTCGCTTCCAAATGGAAGTATTGTTGTATTTTCGCGGGT